GAGCGCATGCGCGCAACACACCCACAAGTGAACCGGCAGTAATGGCTGCCGGAACCCACCCCTGATGCAAAGGGCTCTTCATACAACAGCAGGCAAGTTTTAGTATCGTATTTGCCTTACCTATATTTTCCCGGAAAATATCTATGTGATCAGTCAACCCTGACTTGATGGCATAAGATCAATCAATTAATCACATACGTTTATTGGGAGACACTTACTTGAATAACGATTGTATTCTTTCTCTGGTCACACTCAAGGTGTTTTTTCTGTTCGTCCTTGTCATTTGTACTGAATTATTTGATTTTCAACCTAAAATGGAATACTATTACACAATAGTAAGTCATCCTTTAGCTAATGAATTAATACAAAAGTCTCTCTCTTTTTCTCCTCTCTCTCTCTCTTTCTCCCCCTCTCTCTTTTTCTCCTCTCTCTGTTTCTTTCTCTTTCTTTTTCTTTCTCTCTTTTTTTTCTCTCTCTCTCTCTTTCTCCTCTCTCTTTCTCTCTTTCTCTCTTTCTCCTCTCTCTTTATTTCTATCTTTTTTTCTTTCTCTCTCCCTCTCTCTCTCTCTCTCTCTCTCCCTCCCTCTTAATAATTTTTTCTGCAAATTTCTAGATCAGGCAGTCATGCTAGATGGCTTCAAGTCCTAGATATAGATGTGTATTTGAGTTAAACCAGACTCAAATGTTCTTGGGATATCTGATATTTTTTGATAGGTTACTGTATAAAGGAAAAGAAAGGCATATTTTTTTAATACAGATTTGTTTTCTTTGAGCAAAACAAAAAAAAAACATTCATTTTCTTTACATAGTAATTTATTCTCTATACCTGAATGCCTACATGCATACGTATGTATGTACATACCTACATACACACCCAAGCCCATGGACAAATTTATTTCTGATAAGTCTTATTTGTTTGAGGCTTACAAAGAGCTACCTTGCGGCAAAAAGCTGGCTAGATTAAGCCCTCTTTAAAAGGTGTGACGGTTGGATGGTTTCTGGTCTTCTCTATCTGGCCCCTATCCCCCTTTCAGCTCCCATTTGCCTTCCTGGGAGACATTTGCTTTTAAAAGGGGGGGGGATGAAAAGCTTTGGGCAGCTAAAAGCTTCCTCTCCTGCTGCAAAGGTTTGTAGAATAGGTGACCTTGAGTAAGCATTGCAGCAGCTCTTTGAAGGACATCTAAACATCTTCTGTAGCTTTTCCAAACCAAGCCTCTTGCTTACCTTGGTACCCTCCTCCTCCTCCCCCCTCCCTTCTCTGCTGCTTCTCTCTCTAAAACCTTACAGGCAAATCCATGCCATTAATATTTCAGCATCAGGGTCTCGCAGGCATTGGCTGTCCTCTAATGTGTTGCCTCAATAAGAGAGCCAGGAGGGACGAGCCACTCACCCAGCCCTGCATCTGGCATTTGGCAGAGAAGTAAGAGCAGGAGTGATTCCAGGAGAAGAGGCTGCAGAGAGCAGGCAGAGAACTCCTATCATCAGCAACTGCTATTGCCAAGGCCAGCCAGCCAGCCGGGACACCATGGACGTCTTTAAAAAGGGCTTCTCCATCGCAAAGGAGGGAGTGGTGGCCGCAGCTGAGAAGACCAAGCAGGGAGTCACCGAAGCAGCCGAGAAGACCAAAGAAGGGGTGATGTACGTAGGTAGGTTGAAACCATCTCCCTTCTGCACAGGCAGCTGGCAGCTCTGCCTGGCAGGGAAGAAATCCGTGTCTGTGTGTGACCTTGGAGAGTGAGGCTCTTGAGATCAGGAGCAAGGAGAGGATGGGACAAGATTCCCTTGTGAGAAAGAAAGAAAGGAAGGAAGGAAGGAGGGATGGAAGGAATGGGGGAAGGAGGGATGGAAGGAATGTAGGAAGGATGGAGGGAGGGAGACAGGGAAGGGATGAAGGAAGGAAGAAGAAGGAAAGGAAGGAAAGTGAGAAGGAGGGAGGGAGGCAGGGAAGGGATGAAGGAAGGAAGAAAGGAAGGAAGAAAGAAAAAGAAAGAAAGGAAGGTGGGAAGGAGGGAGGGAGGCAGGGAAGGGATGAAGGAAGGAAGGAAGGAAGGAAGGAAAGTGAGAAGGAGGGAGGGAGGCAGGGAAGGGATGAAGGAAGGAAGGAAGGAAGGAAGGAAAGTGAGAAGGA